CCCTCAGAATGTCTAACGTCGCTTTCGGAAGCCGTAAAACTAGTCTGTGAAGCAGCCGTTCTCTGACCTCCCACAGGGTGCTCTGGCTGGTTGACACCTGCTCCCAGTCATTCCCTTCGCCACAGCTTTCCACAATCTAATTCGACACACAAAATGCCACCCCTTCGCCAATTCCTCGGACGTTCGGTGTCAAACGGACGCTCTGGATCCCTAGAAAAAAACACTTTCCTAGCATTTTCCACCACTAACCAGCCTCCCAAAAAGCATCTGAAACCACCCCTTCGCCACGGCTTTAACCCATTGAGTTCTGCTCCAAACGAGCCCCAATTCCTCGGACGTTCGGTGTCAAACGGACGCTCTGGATCCCTAGAAAAAAAACAATTTGCTAGCATTTTCCACCACTAACCAGCCTCCCAAAAAGCTTCCACCAACAGCCTGCCAAAAGCTTTCCAGCCTCCCAAAAGCATCTGAAACCACCCCTTCGCCACGGCTTTAACCCATTGAGTTCTGCTCCAAACGATTGAGTTCTGGCGGATCTATCATTATTCCCTGGCGCGCTCCCCCTTGCGTCGGCCGGGGTCGGCGGATACCGGTATGTACTGTAAAACAATTTCATCCACTGTTTGCATGCCAGAAGCTTGGTGTGCTTCCAGCTGAAGAGCGAGCAGCAGAACTCTTGGCTCAGTTTGCATCTGAGAATCCACGCTCCGTCCTGCTGGAAAATCTGTAGGCTCCACAACTTGTGCTAGAGCCACTAGGAATGCAGTGGGCAACACTGTCTTACAAAAGCTTGCGAGATGTAGGTCTGTAAGACGACTTCGTTTGACGGCTTCATCATTTTACTGTGAGATTCTTTTCGTCTGAGGCATGACAGAGATGTGGAAGGTGCGGTTCGCGAGGCCGGTGGTGTTCCATGGCTTCGGCGGCTTGCTCTCGACGAAGCGTCGAAGCCTTTAGCTTTGGAGGTGGTTGCGGGTTCCGAAAGGTCTGGGCCTGAAAAGCTTTTGACTGTAAACCTTCTAAATGTTCGATTCGATCGGTTGGCTGCGGTACTTCGAAGTTCGAATGAAAGGTCTGTTTCTACAGTGGTTCTGAACTTCTGCTTGGAGCGCATCCCCGTTCTGGGTTGCCCAACAGTCTCTTTCTCAGAGTTCCGAAGACGATGTACTATATACAGTACTCAGCTCTAATTTCGGCAAGCGAATTGCAGGTGTTGCTTCGGACAACATGGGGCTGACATCTCAGCTGCGAAGCAAGTCCTGCTGCGAAGTGTGTCAAGGAAAGCCACTGCTCAGTGGGAACTGCTCAGGCAATCTTCGCAGCATCCTCATCATTGCTGCCATGTATGGCACGACTCTAAGACAATGAATTGGGTAAGTCCAAAGCTTGTAGTCGGTATATCTTTCCACATGAATCAAGGCATGTCTGGTCTCAACATGAGCTGAACTGGTGCAAGGTCATGATCTAGAATCAGCCAGAGTGCAACACGAGGCTGGGCACAGGGCCATGTGAATTGGTCACACACCTATGCTCACGTTGCTTCACTTGCTCAACACCACTCTCCAATGGATGTTGATCACAGGAGGTTCCAGTTCTTTTTTCTTAGCTTCTCGCCACAGTGACTCTCGCCCGTACGGCGCTTGAACTTCCGAGCGTCCAGACCAGAAGTCACGGCAGGATTTCAACATGAAATCTTGACCTTTGCTTATCAGCTCAGCTTTGGGAGGCTGAGCCTCCGGCTGAGCCTTTGTTACCTGTGTCGCCAAGCCTCGCATGCCCTTGCTAGTTCCACTTTTTACAGGAAGGATTCGTATCTCTTCCGGGCTGAGGGAGGAAGAATGCAGAAAGAACTGCAGCGAACCCTCCTGCACTTGAGAGGCCCTTTTGTGCTTGGTTCCTCCAGGTGATGACAAGGAGTTGTTTGGAGTCCTTGACACTTCTTGCAGTACTCAATAATTCAATGAACTCTGTGCGAGCAGAGGACTCCTGCACGGCTGCGTTGAAGCAGCAGACTGTTTTGGCCCCAGATCTCCAGTCTTCAGCGCTTGCCACTTCAGTTGAACGCCAAATTCGCAAAGGCCACACCCGACCTGAACCCAGCTGTCCTTGTGTCCAACACCGCACAGCAGGCCGCCGTGGGCACTGAAGAGCATTGGTACCGGATGCCGTCGGATGCCTGTGCCCCACAGGTTGCTCGCTTCATGATTCGGGGAGCCCTGAGACGTGTCATGCCCCTAGTCCTTTTTGTTGCCGAGTCTAACAGCGATGGCCTCCTACCTACTAGCGATGGCCTCTAACAAATAGCTGTGGCCTCCAACCTGGTCCTTTTTGTTGCCAAGTCTAAGACTCTTCAACTGGTCTGCGAGCAGCGAAGGCCACTGGACTACAAGCAGCTGTGGATTGTTTTGAGCTTGCTTCATTGTTGTCGGGCTCCAAGGGAGAACAGTAACATTTTCTTGATAACTTTCTTGCTGCCATGAAAGGTACAGCAGTTGCGGGAATGATGCGCTGGATGAGGAATGTAAGCAACACGAAGCAGAATTGTGGTATACGGGATCAAAGTGCTTGTTAACAACGGGCAATCCCTGGTGCACCAGGATGGGTTCGTTCATGTTACCGCTACACCAGCCTCTGCTGCACGCGACTTCTTTCGTCTCATGCTCGGGAAGCAAGCCCTTGCAAGCTGCTGCAAGTGACACACAGTAAATCAAAAAGACAGCACTAGCAAAAGCAAAAGCATATCAAATCGAATGCTTTTGTCTTTCAAGCTTGGGCATTGCGTGTGTTTTGCTTGAGGTAAGAAATCGTTCGCCTCTTGCGCTATTTTGTGGCAATAGACTTACTGTAAGAGATCTTGGAATCATCATGACACCTTCATGCAGATTACTTGTGGTAGTGCCGCTTTGATTCCGTCAGGTGCTCACTACCACTACTAGTTTTGGGCATGGCAGCTCCAAACATTTTTGCTTTGGCCAGGCTTGGCTTAGCTTCCAAAGCCGTGAAGCAAGTTTGTGTAGTCAAGGCTTCCATTTCAATATTGCGTCCAGGCTCATACCAATACTGGTGGAATGCCTCCGCTCTCTGCTTGGGAGGCAAGCGGGCACTGGCAGGTCTTTTGTGTGTAAAGTGGCCCTTTTTCTTCGTGATATGCGAGATCTGTGCGTTCTCGCTGCAGACCTTTTCGGTCTTTGGATTCACAGGAAAGACTCAAGGGACTCTTGATTTGCTACCGTAGGCTACCGAACTTTTTCGTCGATTTGTGGCAACTGAAGAGACACCAAGATAGTTTAAACTTATACTGTATAGTTCTCGTAGAATGTCAGCGCAGAGCCATGGGACGTGACGCCTGGCCACAACGAACTTCAAGGCAGCGGTGGCACCACTTGGCACACGCTTGGGCCCTTGGGTTTGGTGTCCCTCGTTTGAAATCCCAAGTGCCATGTCTCTGAGCTGTGCAGGCCCAAAGCACGGCGCAAGGTCCTGATCATTGGCAACAGCCCGAGCAGTTCTGCCTGTGCCTTTTTCTTTTTTGGTGCGTGTGTCCCCTTCCTCGCCAATGGTTGTGAGGCATTGCAGGATGCAGTGGCTGTGGAAAGAGCACACTAGCCAAGAATCTGATGCTTGTTTGTATATTCCAATGTCACTTGTGACACACTTGTCACATCGATGAAGGTTTGTTGGACTCTGTTGGATTTTAGGAGGGCTGACTGAGCATGTCATCCAGACATTGGGTTAGCTTTTAAAGTTTAGCAGGAGCCACTGAGTGAACTCCAAGAAATGTTTGTTGGCAAGAGTGCAACAACACTCCAATGAGGTAGACATTGTTGGTGTCATTTCAGCAGCAGAACATAGTCATAGCCATTATCAGAATGTGTGAGGGAAGTGGGCTTGAACTTTTCTCATGGCCATTCGATAACCCTACAACAACCCGGTTGAAAGGGCTTACTTATAGAGCACTGTGATGCCACCAATAATTCATGTCGCGGATTCACGAACGGGGCTTCATATGTGGGCCTCTCAGGAGCAAAGACTTGGAGTCACCTTTGACACCTGTGAGTCTCGACTGGTACTTGCGGCCGAAATGGATGCCCAAGGCCGAGAGATGAATCCAAAGGGCTTGCCTTGCTTTAGGATGTGAGAGAAACACATGTGCAGGTCGAGAATTATGGCCGAAATTGGGAGACACCTGAGGGTGTTGATTGGAAAGCTTTGAGAAGTCATCTGCAAACAGCCCTGGAGACTCTCTCACAAGCAGAGACGGCTCAGCTCCCAGCCTTGGTACTCAGGTAGGTCTTCACAGAGCTCTGAGAATGACTTGAGCAGTTTAGACGTTGCCTTCTCTGTCAGATGTTACCCGAGGTACCAGAGGAACTCATTATGGGTGCGAAAGATGAAAACGTGATCCAAAAGGGACAGGCGAGTTGTAAAGCTTGCACCTTCCAACACGTCAGTCAGAGATTCTCCAAAATTTGCCTTGGCACCGGGCCGGGGAAAGCAAGGCTGGCAAGGAGCTTGATGGGACCACCTTGGTCATCGTGGTTGATCCTTAGCTATGCATTTGTCACTTCTTGAGGATGTGGGACGTAGTTCCTCGCTCGCCATGCAGCTGTGGGATGCATTTGAGATACTGTTTTGTCTTCAGGAGGGCTTCTTGCTCTTCTATGATGATATCATTGCTGAGATGCTGCACATCAAAATTTGGATAGATGCTAGCTTGGAGTCCCTCAGCACCTAATCAGTGATGCCTCACTGAAAAGACGCAACATGACGCAACACTTGCCCTCATGCATTTACAATGTATGGATGCAATGGTATGATAATGCAGCGCGAAAAGAACATTGGTCCTCTTCATGTCTTCAAGTGTGCCTGTGTTGCCGTTTGTTAGGAGAAGAGAGCAAGGTTTCCTTGTTGATTTGCGTTGTTTTTCTTCTCCTATCCTTAGGATAAAGGCGTGCAAAAAACTCTCAAAGAAGAGGTCAAAGTCAAAGCGGTACCACGACGGAATCATGGGTTTGCATATCATGCGCATGCCCATACAGTGCGATGTGATGTTGTGCAATGCAATGCGATGCAATGTACTCACCAACTGCTGCTCCTCCAAGAAGGTTTGGCAGCTTTCTCTTATCGCAACAACATTGCACACGCCCACAAAACATTTGTTCACAAAGAGCTCGCTTTCAAGCAACACTTGCTGAATGTACGTGTTTACATTTTATATCTGACATGTTTGCCTGCAGAAGAGTGGATGGTCTGTCCACACATCAATCAATAGCGATGGCCTCCCCCCAACAGCAATGGCTCCCGCACCAGCAGCAATGGCCCCCAAGCCAACAGCAACCGCATCCAACCTAATAGCGACTCGCTGGTTACTGCACGCACACATAGTACACCTGTATTGCAGACAAGTCCTTAATCACTATGCATGTCCAGACCATTGCTTCTCAACTCTGGCACCAGTTGCTTTGAGGACCTGCATGGAGAGACGCCACAAGCGAGGAAAAGCTTCACGCAAGAAAGATGTGGAAGTGTCCAAGCCATGGTTTCGAGATTTGATCTGGAGCCACTATGAGCAATACAAGACCAAACAACTAAACAATGCCGTGGGCGCTCTGCGTGTCGATGGCGAGCTATCCAAAGAGGAGCTTCTCTCTCAATGTTTGCCTTACTGCACAAAGATGATAGCTGCCCGGGTTCAGGTGCTCCTACGGCCACAAAGGTCGCACAAAGGATCGGCCTCCAATTCAGAGCGACAAGCGAGTGGGCGAGCGCCCAAACGAGTGCGAGATGACACTCGTGATTCGAGAGAACCTCCAAGACGGCGACAGAACCTTCGGTCACGGGACTCACGGGACTCCTGGGAGCGTTGGGAGCGTTGGGAGCGCTGGGAGCGATGGGAGCGATGG